CGGCTCCCGGGCTGCGGAGCTCTCTCTAAGTTGTCGGGCAAAAACTGCCGACCATAAAATAGTCAAGATCTTTAACATGCTCAAAATCTCATTGCAGGTAATTCGGGGTAGCGTCAAATATGTTTTATTCCTTTGACTAAAGGTCGCTGTTTCTGGTCTGCAGGGGTCAGTCAAAGAGCGCGTTGGATGGAGCAGTAGCTCTCACATTCTGTGCATCTTTTCTAATAGCACGATGAACTCTGTGTTTTCTGCCTTTCAGGAATATGCATCTCGGATCAAAAGCCGGATTACTAAAGATTTTTGTTGCATGAAGGAATATAGAAAGGTAGGAGCAAAACATACTGGTGTTTATTGAGCAAGAACAAAAAGCAGTTCGACAGAAAATTAAAGAGACTCTTCACCAGTTCTGTGTTTAAGTGAACAAGCTCATAGACATCGAAGCCCAAATGGTAAGTGATGAAATTAAGTGGCAGAATAAAAGTAGGATTTCTTAAGCTAAATTTCTAGGATAGCTGAACATCTACAGAGCACTTTCTGGTCCCCACTGCACTATTCTGTAGAGAACGGTACCAATCCACAGACATTGCTGTTGCCAGGGAAAGTTTGGAGTGAAATTCAGAGGGAAAAAGGATTAGAAAAGGCTGGGGATGCGATTCTTATCTAGATTTGTTCCAAGGATGTTGATGAGCTGGAGTGAAGTGGGGACTGCCTTGCTTAAATCCAGTCCTGAGTAAAATCTAAGGTTTAGGTAAGATCTCTTATTATCTTTTTGTTTTCCAGGATACATATATACACATATTATGCAAGTTAAAGAGCTCACAAAGTTATAAAGTACTCTATAACAACTTTATTGAGGAAAATATGTCAAGGGCTCTCAAAAGAGGCAGTTAAAGCACTTTAAATTCTGCAGAGCCCATTTTGATGCTGAAAACAACAATTCCAAATATGCAAATGAGCTAGCAGGAATTTGGAGTGGGGCTCACTGGGTGTGACGGGGCCAGAAGGCAAAGTGGGCTTTCAGGGCCAAGGCACAGGGGTCCACACTGGAATTCACCTCCTGTAATTGTGTATCTCTGTCTGCTCCAGGGTCCTGTTACAGGCAGTGAAGAGAAACGGGTACTTTTGGAGTGTGAGTCATCTGGCCTACTTGAGACGCCTACCTGCAAATGCCATTAATCAAACCTTCAAAATGTCTGTTTCTTTCCACAGACGATAAAGGCAGACTAAGAGAACAAGCTCAGATGTAGATTTCCACAGTTTCTAAATTTAGGCAATTGAAGCTTACCCTTTTGTGGGTATTTTATGCTAGACCTCATACATTTAAAAAGCTTTGTTTTGGGTTCTAGAACAAGAAGAAAGTTTAAAAAGAGAAACTTTGTATATACATATGTATACTTAAGGAAATTGTAATATATATAAGAAAAATTAGTCCCATTCTGAGTTTTCTTGGGGAAAACATGTATTTATTTATTTTATATATTTTATATTATTTTTATTAAGAATAAATCATACTTTCATATTTTCCATAAGATTTTGTCTGTCATTCATGTTTACTCAGTTGTGTCTGTTCAATGTTTCAGTATGCACTGGGCTCGGGATACAGTTGTTAGTGTTTTGTTGAGGATTTCAATTTGCAGATTGAATTTTAAGGTTTATGGTATGATCATCGTTTTCATTTCTGTTCATGAGTAGGGATCCACATCCACTGGTATTTAGGATGCATGTAAATACTGAGGTGATCTGTCGCCTGCAGGTGAGAATATTTTCCTTTCTTTCTTCTAGGAGGAGATGATATGAATTTTATCTCACAAGAGTATATGAGTGCTTAGCAATCACAGCCCAGAACAGGAAAGTAACAGTTTCCAGCTAGCAACTGATTATGAACCATCAGCCAACACATTCTGTGTCAGCCAAGTGATGTGTTCCCAGAGCTTCTCCACTGGGTGCCACTACTGGGAAGCGGTTACAGTGATGGATGGGCTGTTGGAGTTGCTCATGAGATGATTGGTAAAAGGGACAAATTAGGAAGAACAGAGCATTCCTGGTGTGCAGAATGGCTAGGTCCCAATAAGCAGCTGTCAGCATGGCATAGGGATCAAGAAACATTATTACACACGGATAAGCCACTGAAGGTTGGAGTTTTCCTGGAGCTACAAAAGAAGACTCTGTCATTTTAGTCCATCACTGACAGAGAAATGCTTTTGTATACATTTGCAATCAATACTTCAAATCCTCTTTACCCTGCTTTCTGGCTACACAGTCTAGAAAGAAGTGGATCTCTAAGTCACACAAACAGGAGGTAAAGCCTGTTCAGAGAAGTGACAATTTTGGGTACGACTGCAGAGCTTCTGCAAAAGCCTTAGTGTTCAGCACAGGAATTTACCAAGGAGTGTATAGCTGCCCAGGCTTTCCTGGAAATCAGTAACTGATACTTTGCTTTTCTTCATGCTGTGCTCTGCTGCAGCCATGCCTCATTCAAGCAGTTCCAGTGTATGCTAAAGGCGGTAACCATCCCTGTGGAGTGAGGTAGATTTCTTAAGCAGCTTTAAGTAGTCCCAGGATATTCCTGGGAAGGAACAGACCAAGGAAGCTCTGAGGCTGGGGACAAGCCCTTCACACAGACCTTTTTCCTACGTTATTCCAAAAATTACATGGGAACAGATTATGCCATTTCATTCTGTCAAGGCAGCTTGCTTTTTCTTCATGACAGTACATGAAACCTGCATCATGGCTCCTTAATGGCAGAAAACAGTCACCGTCCGAGGAAAGCCCGGCGCAGAGCTCCCCTCGGAG